TATTATTTTTATAAAATACCATGGAGTTCCAATATCATTTTCCTGTTAATTTTCAGAATTAATTCTCTATGAAAAATGACTTTAGCTCTGCTGTTGATGACAGTAAAGAAGCCAGCATATCCCAGATGAGGCAGCTGACCTGCTGGGGAGCCCAGACAGATTTGGCTATAAGCCAGTTTAATTCCCTGAACTCCATCTGGATTTGCACTGTTTCATACCATTGATGACTGAGCTCCCTTTTTGGTCTGGGAAGCATTCTTACAACTTCTAACAGTCATTCTGAACTAGCTTCCATGTCCAGTAGCCAAGATTGCGGAATATCTGGTAAATCTGAACACAGGTCTTCATCAGACCTGATACTCAGACTTGCTTGTGCACCATCCTCACAGAGTGAGGACTTTCCAGCTGAAAGCTAGGCATTCCTTTTTGTCATAGGGTACACCTGGTGCACATGCTCTTAAAAAATGCTCGCTGCACCAACATTCAGTAGGGTTTAATGGAAAGTGTTGCTTCTTATATCAAAGGACATACAGGAGAAGATGTGTTCCAACTGCCACATTTTATACCCAATTTCTTTATTTCACATCATAACCCAGTGCCAAAATAAAATAAAATAAAAGAAAGAAAGAAAGAATATATTAATTCCTTCTGTCTGAGAAAACAAAGCCATGTAACCTACTTCTTTCAGAGGGTACTAATCCTCTTGCCGTAGGTGACAAGCACTAAAGGAATCAGAGGTTTCTTACCCTGGTGATCAGGAGAGGGCCTGGGGGCCAAACCCTTGACAAAGAGCTGTCATTGAAGTATTTTTAGGCCAAGATTCACATGTAAGTGAGTTTTACTCAGTATTTCCCCCACCAGCTGACATAAGACGTTTCATTGAGTGGAGAGGTTCAGTGAACATCTTTCTAAAATTTTGTAGCTCTCAAGGTTCATTTTATATGTAGCCAAATAGGCTCTGTGCTGAGACAAGGATCACGCACATAAAAGTCAGTATTGTTGCACATGGCATTAAAGGATGTACATTCCTTTCCAGATCTGCCTGCAGAGCACTGTGTGCAGCCTGTTCCTCTGCAAGGCTTGATGATGTATGTGCACGCCCAGTGTTCTGAGAGGGAGAAATTTTCAAAATCCCAGTGGCTGATATTTTGCATGTTATGGTAAAGTCAGTATAATGCTTCCAAATGATTTTGTTCTTTTTAGATCCTGTGGATTTAATGAGGATGTAGCTGATCTATTGATTTAGGTTGTCCCAGGAGAGAGGAAAAATATTTATCATGAGTTCTGGTTGTCCTCTGAGAATTCCAGTTTCAGTTTTAACAACAGATTTTGTGAAAAAGGCATGGCTCCGAAAGGAAGAAGATCAAGATCAGATAAAGAGTAGTTTGCTTAAATTAAAATAAATAAATAATAATAATAATAAATAATAATAATAATAAAATCTTGGCAAAGAAAAGCAGCAGGTAGTGAAACAAATAGAATTCATTTGTGGTTCAGGCCCTCAGAAGGCTCAAAATGTGTAGACATAAACCATATGAAGAGCATTTCTGCTAGCTGCCTTTGCCTCTCTGAGCAAACTAGGCAGATCACATTAGGCATGACTTTATTCTTCATAAACCACTATCAGTTATCAGATGGAGATGCCTAAAAATCTGTCATGATGAAACAAACAGGTGTCCTGGAAATCAAAGTGTCGAAACATACAGAGTACTTGGAAATAATATATCTGACAATAGATAATGTAGAAAATATCAGTGTCACTGCACACAGATAATGTGTATGGGCTGAAAAAGTTTTTTTTACACAGTTACCCTCTCTGAATTACTATGAATTTATAATGCTGCTTCTTAACATTTATATTTGTCTATAATAAATATGCAATAATTTATTAACATGGTAATAAATGTTTAATACACCTTGTCTGTAAAATTTTGTAAAACTATCTCCTTAACTCCATGATTTAGTTATTTATTTGTTTGTTTACTTACTTACTTATTTATTTATTTTTAATATAAGGAAAAACATTAAACTAAACCAATGCTGTTTTAAAAGTGGGTGTATTTATACACAGAATTTGCAAAATGTGGAATTTCTTGTACATAACCTCTGGTGTTCAAGGTATCTGAGATGTACAGGACAGAAACACAAAACTTCATCTTTGCTTTAATGTGTTGTGACTGACAGATGGGGTAATTTAGATGGGATACTTTTTTTTTTTTTTTTTTGGTAAAGTGGCCCCATAGATGCTATACTGAAATTTTAATGCATTCATTAAAAAAAATAAAAAAAATAAAATTGTGAAATTGACTTAAAAAACAAGGAACATTTTTAAAAATCTTTGTTATGTTCTATACTCCCCCCACCCCCAGTTTCTGAGCAAAGGGAATTCACGTATTCAACTGCTGAAGGTCTTTTCCTCAGAGAAACCTTTCCCTTTAGCTGAAGCTGAAACCATTACCTTTCAGCTGATGCTGTTCTGATAAATGAGGGTATTACCATGACCATTGAATACTCAGGACAACTTTTGTGCTTATTCAGTTCTTGAACTTTAGGTGGCATGTTGGAAACTTAGGGTTGGACAGGATATGAGTGCTTCTGTCTTGCTACATAAACTGGAATTTTATGTCCAGAGAAAAAACCTGTTCTAAATGATGTAAAGCAATTTTCCTGAAGGCTCAGGTAATTTTCCTAAAATTTCTGAACCTAGGAGATACTCAAAGGTAAAGCAATCTGTTCAGAAGAAACCAAGCTGTATGTGGTTAACAGGATCGTTTGGCTGCTGCATGTTAGGTATTCCTTAAATGAATCAGAAAGCAAATTGGGTAAGCAATTGGTAACAGTTTGTAAAAACCATGAAAACTTTTAAGATTCAGACGTCTAAATTATATTTTGAAGTTCTGGAACAAAAGACAGATGGTTGTTTTTCTGTCAGCTGTCTCTCAGTGGCTGGGGGTAGGGTTTGAACCATATATTTTTTCTTATTCCAAAGGGAAAGTAGCAATAGATTTCATTAAACTGGTCCTTCAAATAGAGCAATTGCAGGTTTCAGTTAGTAAAGAAATGTTAGATGTGAAGGTAGACATTTTCTCTCTTTAAAAATTTGCTGAAATTTCAGTCCATGTTATTTCAGAAACCATTATATATTTCAGCTGGAGTTAACTTGACTGTTGGATTTGTTTCACTTTGTATAACATAACTGAAGATTTACTTGAGAAAGGAAGGATTTGTTATAAGATGGTTAGAGTCCTTAGCTAGTTTGTGAGATGCTCAGGTTCATAAATTTCTCTCAATTAGTGTCATTTCCCAATCATTTAAATATTGTATAGCAATTTAAACAGCTAACTAATTGAAACATACCTTTAAATAGTTATATTGACTTTCAGCCTATGACCAGTCACCTCTACCTAACCCCAGTGTATGTGTTTTGTTGGTTTTTTTTTTGAACATTTGTAACATTTTCATGGATTTCAGTCAACTCAAATTTCTGTGTGAATAAAGCTACATTTCTTCCATCCTGGGTCTATGACTACATGCTACTTAGTAAATTGTGATATGGCTAAGTGCAAATATATATATGTGTTACTATAACACTTAGTTTCCAGCATATTTATTACAATTTTGGAGAATTTTAGGATTTTAAGTTTATTAGGAATTTCTATTTGTTACAAAAATAAACAAAACCTTTTGTTTTTAATTCAGATCAGACATTGTGATTTGTTTCTTTATTATGTGTTTATGTATTGGTTTGGCAGCCATGGTGAAAACTTCAGTAGTTATCCTCAGAGAGGTCTCTTCCATAGTCACCATGAATACAGCTGAATGACACCATGTAATTTTTAAAAACTAAAAGATCAAAATCTTGATACTTTTTTTTTTTTTAATAATAGTGTATTACACAATAAGTCTGATGCACAAGTATGATTGATTTGTGTAAATACTATCCAGAATACCTAGTTAAGTTGGACTATGATGCAACTGGGGTAGTATTAAAAAAAAAAAAATTACCAAAGTGATTTTCCTCTAGAGACAATATTGGGGTTAACAGCATTTACCAAGTATTAAAAGTATGTAACTTTGTACTTGGTCTGTCTGGGATGGAGCTACTTTCCCCACAGTGGTGCAGACAGTGCTGTGCTCTGCATTAGTAGGTAGAACAGCACTGGTATCACACTGTGTTTTGTCTCTTGCTAAGCAGTACTGGTACACCTTCAAGACTCCCTTTAGCACAAGGCAGTATACTGAGAGTGGGCAGGGTGGATGGGAGGAAGGTGCTTTTAGTTTGTTTTCTTTGTTTCTCACTTCTCTAGCTTGTTAGTAACAGGCAATAAATTTTGTTAATCTCCCTATGCTGAGTCTGTTCTGCCCGTGAAAATATTTTTTGAGTCATCTCTCTGTCTTTATCTCAAACGGCAAGCCTTTTGCATCATATTTTCTCCCCCTTTGTCTTTGAAGAGATTTATTATTTTTTCCCAGCAGTTGTGGTGGGGCGCAGCTGCCCACCTGAGTAAATTCACAACAGTGGCTTTGATGCATATTGATGGGAAGTAGAGAATAATTGTTTTCTCTGTTTCTGTGTTTCTGCATGGCCCTTTCTTGTTTTTTCCTCTTTCTCTTTAAGTAAGCTAGCTTATCAACTTGTGAGCTTTTTTCTTTTCATCATACTGGCTTCCACTCATCTTCCTTTGAGAAGGGGGTGTGAGAGGGTGATTTTGGTGGAGTTCAGCTCTCCATCAGGGTGAAACCACCACATACATCTACATAGAACAACTGATAAATAAAATTTAAAAAGGAAGAAGACATATAATATATATTTACTATTTATTAGTGCTTAGTTATCACTGTAATACATATACTTTAATGTCTCTGTAGATATGGGGCAGATGTTTGATTCACTTTCTAAACTGATACTTGAATGGGTGAATTCTCTGTTGTTTTCTCTGTTGTCATTTGAAGATAGTAATATCACTCCTTTTCCTTCCCTTTGTCTTTCTGCTCCCCAGCAATGACAATGCAGTTTATAAGCCATCGGTTCCCTGACTATCATGATCCAACTATAGGTAAGTAAAGATTATTAACTTCTTCATTCCTTTCAATCTCTCCACCTACTTGAGATTTCCATACTACAAGAAGCTCTTCCTAAATAAAAGTTATATAGAATCAAGATCTATATATTTTAGATTAGATTTATGTTTGTGATGACAATGAAATCGTGTTGTGGTCATACTATAGTCATTTCTTCCTGAAATAGTAAAAAAATCTTTCAACATACTATACCTAAATAAGATATGAACTCCAGTCTGAAGAGTGGTTCTTATATATATATATATATGTAATTATTTTTTACTGTAGTACTGTTCTCCACTTTTAAACTCTTAGCTGACATTCTCTGTAAAAATAGAGCACCTGTTGAATTTATTATACTAGAGTTGTTGTCTGGCATCCCTACTCCACTTGTTTTATTTGCATAACAACCTGAAATAATAAACATGTATTTGCGATACCCCAAAATCATCATTTTTAGATACTAACCAGTACTTAATGGTTGAAATACAAGGGGATAGTCAGAGCTGGAAACAGGATCTGAGATTAAGCTCAACCATTCTGTGACTCCATGATGTTGAGTGGTTGTCAATACCAATTTTCATTTATGCTGTTGATCATCTTTTGGTCACTACTATAATTATTAGTATAAATAAATGTAGCAAAAAGTGTGTGTGCAATCAAGACAGAAATCATCAGAACAGGATGTTTTTTCACTTAAGGGTAGCTTTATTAGTTAACTTTATTGATATAAAAAAAAAAAAAAAAAACCTTGGATTTGAAGGGCTTATAAGTGGGATTGTTTTAGGAAAAAAAAATTATAAATCAACAAACAAACAAAACAAAACAAAACAAAAAAGCAGCTTACACCAAAACATTTTTTTCTGTTATCCTTGAAATTTTCAGATGTTTCAAACACAGGTCTGACCTCTACAATGATACTGCGTAAGTAAGTAGAGCAGCTAATGATAGGATTTATTTTAATTTCTCATTACCATAGTATTCCACATTCCATGAATATTAACTCCTGGTAAGTTGTGATATTTCAATTAAAAAAAAAAAAAGTCAACTCTTCACACCACTAGTATTTTTATAGCCATTAAAAATATATAAAAATAAAAATATTTTTATCAGCTCTAAAGAAGGCAAAACTAATAGGGAATTGCTACAAAATTATTTGTTGAAATCAGGAAAAAAACAATAACAACAAAAACAACTGCAACACATTGGATTTAATTGGAAAGAGGAAAATTAGTAGTTATGGAAGCCATTAAGTTATGTGCATACACCCATCTTTATTACTATCTGCCTGCCACCTGTATTTATCTATATATTGCATCTTGTCATAATCTTAACTTACTGGTCTCTAGACACTACCACAGTATGAATAACAAATAATCATAAAAAGAAGGAAATCTTATGATGCATTCTAGAGGACCTAGTCAAAATGAAGGTCTCCTTGAATAAAAGACAGCTCCTACTCAATAAAACCAACACTTCAAATAGACAAAGAGAGAGGGAGATAGAAAACAGAGAAAGTAGTCAGAAGTATGACTCAAGATTTATCTGTTCAGTATTTCTGTCTCAGGACACGCTAAGGACATCCTGAGAAAGGCTCATTTTCTATTCATGCTCTAAAATGTGCTAAACAGCAGAGTATCTGCTCTTTATATCAGCCCACGTATCTTGGGCTAAGTATATATTTTCTGCTAGATACATTTATGGCATGCTCCCTCAAAATTTGACATTAAAAAACAAAAACAAAGAAACAAACCACCACAACAACAAATAGACAGAATAATTTGTTAACTTACCTGTAATAACATCTAAAATGCATTTAAAAATCTCTGTACACCAAAAATATTTGTATCATTATGAATTTTATTACAACTTTTGAGGTCCAGGTCTCAAGTCACACAATTCATCTCCACTGTTTTTTTCTGCTGGCAGGCATAATAGAACTGCTTTCCATCAGTCTACTAAGATTTTATAATTCCAGAGAATTTTCTGGGATGTCAGAAAGAAAGGTGATCCAAAATGAGCATATCCAAGGTCAAGACTGTGCTGATAACAGGCGTTACTGGAGGGGAAGTGATTCCCTGAAGGTTTCAAGGAGATGCTTGCCACAAACCAAAAGTTCATGTACCTTTAGGGAAGGTAGCATGTTGAGGCAGAACAGTTGAGGCAGAATAGGCAGACAGAACTCCAGTCATTGTTCTGCTTCCCTTAGCATACAGAAGTCCAAGAAAGTAAAAACAGGTCAGGTATGAAATGTGCCTTCACTCCAACAGAACAGCAAAGCAGAAAACTGAACATAGCTTTCAGCTCTGCCTGCAATTAAGGTTGTCTCTGGAAATCAAAGACATAACCGAAGACTTTCTTTTCTGTCATACATTTTAGGCCACTTTTATTCCTTGGAATATCGTATCCTATTTGTGGAACTCCTGAGCTCTCCTGAACAACTTCTAGATGTACTGACCTTAGATTTTAGTGTGCTTCTTTGAAAATAACGTATTTTGCCTACTTGTGCTTTTATTTGTCTTTGGACATTTAAAGGAATAACAGTTTCTGTGAGTGCCACTGAGAGGGTGATAATCTATGGAAATAACAACAACATCAAAATAAATAAATAAATAAGATCTATAACGTGTTTAAATGGCAAGGCACAGATTTCTAGTATTAACCAACATACTGAGTCTCCTATGCTGCAGTTAAACTTTATAATCAGGCCCAAAGTTTCTTTTGCTTTCACAGGCATATAGATCTAACAAACACCTACATATTTTTCATAATATTCTTCAGTTAGTTTCACCATTCTTTTTGTTTCCTATGGAATGAGATTGTGGTAGCAGTAATTGTTATTCTGATCTGTGCAAATTTAGCCATGATTTAAGTAGGTAGTGCAGACAGAAATGATACTGTACTGCCTTACATTTGATGTGGCCTATTCTAACCATTGTCCTAATACTGTACCAATACTGTGTATTGGTAGGGTTATGAATTGGAAGCGCCTTTGTAAATAACATTTTTGTCTTTGACATCCCAGAAGTTTATCACTTTCAGTTTTACAGGAAAGACTTCAAAGGCCCCTGAGGCTGCTAAATCACTATAACCACTTTGTCCACTTTAACTTTCCTCTGTCCACCTTCAGCATTGACATGGGAATGGAATAATTTCAGCTGCTTCTTACTTCTGGAGATTCTTAGGAAATACACTTGTGTATAGGTAAAAAAAGGACAGGAGAAAATAAACCCCTCCCAAAGCACATGAGCACAAAACTGATATAATCTGGTAATCTACGTGAAAAGCAAAACCACACCAGGTTCAGTCCATTCTTAAAGCCACAAAAACATCTAGTATGATCAACTTACAGTTAGGAACATATTAAATACCTGAAATGGTTACTACAATAGTTTTTGCTTTGACTGAAAAAGAAATGTCTGCCAACTGATTTTCATGTTTTATGCCATAAAAGTTCACATTTTTCCATCATAAAAAATATGTTGAAGTTAAATTCTTTTGGTATAGAAAATAAATTTTATGTCTTGACCTGCTGCTTGGCTCCACCCAAGCATACTTGTGGGCAATCAATTTGTATTGGAAGGTTTTTGGAAGATTTTATTTTTGTCCTTGTTATTTTATATCCTCTCTGTAAATTGATAAGACAGTGAACTTTAAGGAGACTCTAAAGATGAGAATGTATTTCTGCTTTGTTTAGTCCTACATGAGCCTATTGTGAGAATTGCATACTGTTACTGACTAGAGAGAGAATACGGACTCCTTTCATTTTAATATAATGCCAAACATCCTTCTTTTTGCCACTTCTACTTCCATCCAAATACGCACTGAGTAACTTGTCCTAAACATTCTGCAGTACTAATCAAATAGCTTTCAAAAAAAACAGAGACATTTTCCCTTTGTTGTGACAGTCCCTAGAAAAATGGATTTTCCATATCATTTCTTTTCATTCTGGTTCAAGGTTATGTTAGTAATGCATTAGAGTTCTCTTTTTCTACAGCGACTCATACCCCTTGTAGAAATACATGATTGGAATTTAATGGTGTTTTGTGCTTATAACTTTTCTTCTGTTATCCACTGACATTTTTGAAATATTATTGGGGATCAACAAGAATTGATCACAGAACGTTGCTGCTACTGTAAGGTGATGCAGATTTTTTGATAAAATTATATTTTAGTTGCTGCATTATACAATATTATATGTATGCGTTCATAGATTTGTGTGTCAAATACATACATATATTTCAAATATATTAATTTTGATCCTGAAAGAGCTACACAAATAGAAGTAGAATCATTTCTGTGTTTTTCTTTCACCTGTGTCTATAATTTATAGATGTAGTTGTACTGTTGAAGAATTTACTGGATGGTGTGATGGAAAGTCCAATATTTTTTGGTTGAGAGGCAAAGCTACGTTTTGTTCTGTTTGTTTATATGAATGGTACTGTTTTGTTCCAATATGAATTTATTCAGAGAAGTCCCCTGGTCAATGTCCATCAAAGATGTGGTGTCAAAATAAATGATTACAATAAATAGTCCCTTCTAATATATAAAGCTGTCTTTTGTTTTATAAGCTGGTTGTCTTAGTTTGGAAATGATAAGATGGTAGGAAACTATAAATGTAGACATATAGAGGCATAAATAAATTTGCATACGCATAAATATCCGAATTATTGTGTTAATATTTGTTTAACAGAATAAACATTGATTAAAAAGTTAAATGATATCTGAAGTGCTAATTTTAATGCTGTCACTTTGAGTTAATTTCCACTTCAAGATAAAGCAGGAATAATGATTATATTTAAGCTTGGCACAAACATTCCAGTTCTGAATATTGAGACAGAAACATTGTTTTTGTAAGTAAAAGGAGACAAAAAGGAAGAAATTATGTCAGTATTAGACAAACTGTATGTGGGCAAAATTTCAAACGTTAGCACTTCATGGAAATAAAATGATTTCAGTGCACATTTAATATTTAATTGTAGTCAACAATGAGAAC